TTATATGGGGTTATTGCATGTGTTGGGGTCCCTGTGATATGTTTTATAAAACTGTATTTCTCTGTCTGTGATAATTATATTACCCATTGTGTTCAGTAATCATATCACAGGCAGAGGGAAGGATTTTGTGTGGGAGTGTCTGTGTGTATTGTACGTATTGATTGGTTGCTCTGTAAAACCCTGTGGGCAGTACTATGTTTGTGGATTGGGAATAAAAGAGGCTGTATGTGCCAGTACAGTCAGTTCTACTCCTGATACTGTGTGTTGTCCAGTGATTGGGAAAGGTGACGGGATACTATGGGACTTTATTGCTGATTGTGCTGGATATTCTCTTGGATTTATTACTTGTTCCTGCATCCTCTGGATATATTGGTGGAGTTAAGCTGTGAGAAATCAGCTCTCCGCTACATTGGTTTGCAACGTCGGGATCCAGATCCACAGAGGAGCAAGTACCAGGAAAGGCAACAGCACTAATGGCGGAATACAGAGCAGAAAAGTGCCCAGTTTGGGTACAGAACAACACAGCAGAGGAACAGGGGCAGTTGGAATTTCAGAGAGAGCTGCAATTCCGGCTGTCATTCTATGGGGAAAACCCACCAACAGAGATTTTCTCCAGAACCATGACGGAAGTACAGGAGTTTGTACGAAGACAAAGGGTCCAATAAACTCCAGAGAAGAACAGCACCTTAGAGACACGGGAATCAATATGGAGCGACATAGAGCCTGCAAGTCCCTGGACAACGCTCGAGGTGGAAGATGAGTTTAACCGGAGGTTACAGAGCATTTTGGCCACACTGGATAAACCAATAGCAGAGGCAACCAGGTTGGCATGCAGAGAGGACGCCCGACAAGAGATGTGGGAAGAAACTCTGGAGGGTGTCCAGCGTTGGCGAGGTGAGTGCCTCCCCAGCAGGGAGCAGCGACTACAAGCTCGAGTGGCCCTACGGGTGCCTATGCTAGGAGACCAGCCCCAGAAAGAGTTGGTGATACAGCTTGAAACACTGGCATGGAGGGAACTGGTTCTCGATGATGCGTACCAAGCGCTACGTTGGTACGCGGTTCAGCGGGTTCACGGAATGGCCAAATTTGACAAACCAGAGGGCAAGGAGTACAATGGCCCTGGTTTATTATGGGGGGCCTTTGCGGAACCGGACTTTGGGAGTGCGGCAGAATCCCGGCTTTGGGACATACTTAATTATAGAGAGGCCATGCTGGATCTCCCTATGGCTGAAGTCCTGGAGCCAGACCTGATTGAATTGGCCGTCCAGGAATGGGAACTTGAGCAGGATTACCAGCACCTGATCAGCTCCAGTCAGTCATCCTATACCCTGCAGGTACCACCAGAGCAGGGGGAGTTCGAACAGAATTATGGCCTTTTATTTGATACAGTAACACTGCCTGATTCTAACCTGAGGGGGCTTATGGACTGTACACCATTGGGAGCGTTGAGTTTCGTCCTTCCTCCCCAACAACTAAGCCAGTCATCAGGAGACATGGGGTCTGTATCATCTACTCCACAACCAACTCCAGAACTGAGGGATTTCATAGACTGGTCATGGGAAGACCCACAGATGGCAGGTAGAGATGGGTCTCTCTACCGGCCCTACAGGGGTGCTGGGCAGATCCCCAGCGGCAGTGCGAAGTGCAGGGAGTGGAGAGCCTCGTCTCCCCTCCCCAGCGGCAGTGTACCTTGCAGGGAGAGGAGAGTAGCATCCTCCCTCCCCAGAGGCAGGGTGAGCTACAGGGATGCTGGGCAGTCGGCCCAGATCCCCAGCGGCAGTGTGAAGTGCAGGGAGTGGAGAGCATCGTCTCCCCTCCCCAGCGGCAGTGTACCTTGCAGGGAGAAGAGAGTAGCGTCCTCCCTCCCCAGCGGCATGGTGAGCTACAGGGATGCTGGGCCATCGGCCCAGATCCCCAGCGACAGTGTGTTTTATTGGGGGTAGAGAGCAGCGTCCTCCCTCCCCAGCGGCAGCATAGCCCACCAAGGGGAGACAGTAAGTCCCACAACAGTGCAGATGGGACCGTAGTCTCTGTACCTACACCACCAAGGATAAGGACAGTCTGTCCTGTTTCCCAACACCAAGACCGTTTAGCCAAAGGGGAGACAGTCTGTTTCCACCTCCAGCAGCCAAGTGTGATGTTAGGAGAAGTGACAGGCGGTCTCTCCCCAGCGGCAGAGTGCCTTACAGGGAGGGGAGACAACTGGTTTCCCTCCCCAGCGGCTGAGCATGTCATTGGAAGGGGAGACGGCTGGTTCCCCTTCCCAACAGCAGGACAATTTATTGGAAGGGGAGACAGTCGTTCCCCCCCTACAACAAAGGAGAGCGTTGCAGGAAGAAGAGCTGGCATCCGGGCAGAAAGCCGGCGGCTTCTGCCCTCTCTTCCCTTCTACCTTAGAACCTGATGGCGCACCATCTACATCAAGGACCCCGAGGACCACAGAGCTAAGTTTCGCTGGCCTCGACCCACCAGGTCTAGAGGAGGGGAACTGCATCCGCCATCCCCAGCAACAGTTTTGTCCAACCAGGGGAGAGGGCGCCTTGGTTACTTTTCCACCAGACTATGGATTTACAACTGGGCACATGTGGCCGGAGGACACCGGGACAGCTACACCGGGTAAGAAAGGCCGTCCGACTATCAGCACCCCAGACTGATTGGAGGTCTGGAGTCTGGAAAGTTTTTTTGGTAAAGGGGAGAAATGTAGCAGACTGGGTCCTATAACAGAGTATGCTCCAGTTTCCTGGAGGGGGCTGATGGCTCACCTCCTGCCCAGTGATTATGGTCCCAGAAAGATGGGACCCTTTAAGTACAATGGCTGGAATTCATGGGATGTTGAATGGCACTACTGGCCCTTTAAGAACCATCCAGGGACATACTGTGGAGTTACTGGGTGGCCACCATTTCATGTATCAGAGGCACATGGTGAGAACAATGGATGAAGCACATAGTGAGAACAATGGATGACGGCCATTTTAACTCACAGACACTGTTGTGACTTTTCTACACGGTGCCATCTCGCCGGTATTTGGTGCACAAAGACATCGTACAGTAGTTTTAAACTATACAACAGGGGACACATTATACAGTAATAATTTTTTATATAATCTGTATATGTTCTGCGGAATCTGCATTAAACTGTATCTTCCAAACTACTGAACGGATCTGGGTGAATTTTGGATATGTGGTTCACCCAGATCCTCCGGTTTATATGGGGTTATTGCATGTTTTATAAAACTGTATTTCTCTGTCTGTGATAATTATATTACCCATTGTACTAAAGATATTGTCAGCGCTTAGTGAATACTCCCCTTGAGATAATAACAAGGGTGCAAATATGTTAAGATAATATTGCAATAAACATCTAGACTCCACATGTAACAACTATAAACAGAAGAAAAGATGCAAATAAAAATATGTTATAAGGACAGCAATAAAGTAAGCGGTGCCAGTAGCGCGAAATGTCTTCTAACAGTTCAAAAGCGTCTTATAACAAAAAGCAGTATAAAATATCACCGAATACGAGCGTATAAATAGATGCCGAATATTCTAGCAAAACAGTGTCCCCGTGTGTTCTATGCCGTCTCCAGCTTCAAACCCCTGTCATGAATCACAATGTTGAAAATAGCAGTATGCAAATTTCTGGCGATCAACTGGTATGCCGAGCCGTCCGACAAAATCGTTCTCACCAAAGTGTTATCAGTGTCCGTCTTCGCACTGTGTCCGAATAAAACCGTAGTCGTTTACAGCGACAAAATCCATGTTTCTTCGTCTCGCAGACGGGTGTCTTCAACGCGCTGCTCCCTGGAAGCTACCGGCACTTTCACGAAAAAGTCCCCAGTTAGACGAAACGCGCGTTGATGAGGTGCAAGGGTTTTTTTGCTACACATCCCCTGTAGACGGACTTTGAAGAAAACATCGTTTTATTCATATGCAGCTGTTTCCTTACGGTTTTATTTTCGGACAGCCCACCTGAGTGCACGAGGTGGACACTGTCTGCTTTGAAGATAAAGACAGTTTGTCGGGACAACCAGCAGCCGCGAAGTTTCTTCGTTCTGGTCCTTAGGAATAAGTACTACTGTTGCATATATATTTTTCAACATTGTGAGAGTTCATATTTAGGGGGGGTTTTTGTTTGTTAAACTGGGACAATAAATTTTACAGAGTTACACTATATTTGTTTTCTCTGTTTTTGCCTAGGAATGTTCAAGCATCTATTTGAGTCTCCATCCATCTATTCAGACATTGGATGTTACCCCCTCTCTCTTTTTTGATCTTATAAGACCTTTTTTGGACTATTTAGAGACATTTTTCTATACTTCTGTATACTTTTATTGTTATATCTATATATATATTTTTATTTGCATCTTTTCTTCTGTTTATAGTTGTTACATGTGGAGTCTAGATGTTTATTGCAATATTATCTTAACATATTTGCACCCTTGTTATTATCTCAAGGGGAGTATTCACTAAGCGCTGACAATATCTTTAGTACTCTGTTATAGGAATTGGGAAAATTCTTTTTTTGTCTAGCAGCTGTATCTACTGGGTACTTCAAGTACCATTTATTATTACTTTTAGTTTTGATTTTGTATGCGCTCTCTTAATTACTTTATTTATATTACCCATTGTGTTCAGTAATCATATCACAGGCAGAGGGGAGGATTTTGTGTGGGAGTGTCTGTGTGTATTGTACGTATTGATTGGTTGCTCTGTAAAACCCTGTAGGCAGTACTATGTTTGTGGATTCGGAATAAAAGAGGCTGTATGTGCCAGTACAGTCAGTTCTACTCCTGATACTGTGTGTCGTCCAGTGATTGGGAAAGGTGATGGGATACTATAGGACTTTATTGCTGATTGTGCTGCATATTCTCTTGGATTTATTACTTGTTCCTGCATCCTCTGGATATATTGGTGGAGTTAAGCTGTGAGAAATCAGCTCTCCGCTACAAGCCCTGTCACAGGGGGCAAACGAGGTGGCCATCTGGCCACCTCAGGGCGCCCCCTAAGTTATCCTTCAGTATGGCAGAGCAGGCACCTTCTTACCTTGATGACAATTGCCTGTTGTACCATCAAATGCCAGTGACCGGAGAAGCCAGGAGAAGGCAGGCGGCGAGGGAGGCTGTTCTTGCGGCCTCTCACTCCTCTCTTGCGCCCAGGGTGGTAGGGAGGCTGAATTTGCCTCAGAAAATAAAATTGTGTGAGTCTGTGTGCCAGTGAGTGTTTGACTGTCTGTGAATGTGTGTGCCTGTCAGTGAGTGAGGGTATGTCTGTCATGCTGCATTCATCTTGCCATCAATTTTCACAAGCCTTTAGAGCTTACACTCTCCAAAACATCAGTGAGCCATCACCATGCTTCACAGTGGGGATGGTATTCTTTTCACTATAGGCCTTGATAACCCCACTCCAAACGTAGCGCTTATGATTGTAACCATAAAATTCTCTTTTGGTCTCGTCATTCCGAATTACAGTGTGCCAAAAGCTGTGAGGTGTGTCAAGGTGTTGCCGTGCATATTGCAACCATCCTTTTTTGTGTCCTTGGCGCAGTAAAGACTTCTTTCTGGCAACTTGACCTTGCAGCTTTAATTTTGTTCAAGTATCGTCCTTGAAGCAACCCCATCATCTTTTTCCAGAGCACCCTTTATTTCTTCTGAGGTTAATTGTGGGGTTTTCTTATTATCCTGAACAATTCTTTTGGCAAATGTGGCTGAAATCTTGCTTGGTGTACCTGACCTTGGCTTGGTATCAAGAGAACCCCAAATTTTCCAATTACTTAATAAGCGATTAAACAGTACTGACTGGCATGTTCAAGACTATGGATGTCTTTTTATATCCTTTTCCATCTTTATTAAGTCCCATTAACTTGTTACGCAGGTCTTTTGACAGTTCTTTCTGCTCCCCATGGCTCAGTATCTAGCCTGCTCAGTGCAACCACGTGAGAGATAACAAAGTAATTGACTATTTATACACAGACACTATTTGCAATTTAAAAAGCCACAGGTGTGGGAAATTAACCTTAAATTTCCATTTTAACCCGTGTGTGTAACCTTGTGTGTCTGTAACAAGGTCAAACATTCAAGGGTATGTAAACTTTTGATCAGGGCTATTTGGGTGATTTCTGTTATCATTATGATTTAAACATGATCCAAACAACTATGTGATAATAAATGGATTCATATAATCAATATCCTTTAATAAAATATATTTTTTTGCGTGATCAGTCATATTTTCAAAATCAATGCCCA